CTGTCTCAAAAAAAAAAAAAAATAAAGAATGGAATTGCAACTTTATGAGGAACTGCCAGACTGTTTTCCAAAGGTAATGCACCATTTTTCAATCCCACCATAATGCTGAGGGCTTTAATTTCTCCACATGCTTGCTATTAACATTTTTTTTTTTTTTTGAGACAGAGCCTCAAGCTGTCCCCTGGGTAGAATGCTGTGGCATTACAGCTCACAGCAACCTCCAACTCCTGGGCTCAAGCGAGTCTCCTGCCTCAGCCTCCCAAGTAGCTGGGACCACAGGCGCCCACCACAATGCCTGGCTATTTTTTGGTTGCAGCCGTCATTGTTTGGTGGGCCCAGGCTGGATTCGAACCCACCACCTTGGGTGTATTTGGCTGGCGCCTTAGCCACTTGAGCCCCAGGTGCTGAGCCTATTAACACTTTTTAACACTTGCTTTCTTGTTGTCATTGTTTGTTTTTTAGCTATCCTAGTGGATGTGAAGTGACAGAGATTTATTTTTCGGGCAGTGCCTGTGGGATAATGGAATAGGGCACCGGCCCCAAATGCTAGAGGTGGTGGGTTCAAACCCAGCCCTGGCCAAAAACTGCAAAAAAAAAAAAAAAAAATATATATATATATATATTTTTTTTCATCTTGAACTGTGTCTCTTTCTCTCTTGTCTTATGTCTCCTGGTGTCCTGCTCCAGTCAGTCAACAAAATAATGGATCGTCCATCAGACTGTGTTCTCTGGACCATACAAAGGTTAATGTCCTTGACTTTAAAGATACACTCTCTTCTCATAAAACACATAGGAAAGTTAACAACACAATCTATGGTCAGTACCAAAATTATTTTTTCTTTTTGAGAAAGAGTCTTATTCTATGGCCTGGGCTAGAGTGTCACAGATTTAGCTTACTTCATAGCAACCTTGAACTGCTGGCTCAAGTGATCATCCTCCTACCTTAGCCTCCTGAGTAGCTGGGACTACAGGTGCCTGCCACCGTGACCGGCGAATTTTTCTATTTTTAGTAGAGACAGAGTCTCCCTTTGCTCAGGTTGGTCTCAAACTCCTGATCTCAAGATTCTCTGCTTCAGCCTCCTAGAATGCTAGGATCACAGGTATGAGCCACTATGCCTGGTCCCCAAATTCTTTTTTTTTTTTTGAGACAGAGTCTCACTATGTAGAACTTGGTAAAGTGGTGGTATCACAGCTCACAGCAACCTCCAACTCTTGGGCTTAAGTGATTCTCCTGCCTCAGCCTCTCAAGTAGCTGGGACTACAGGCACTCGCCACAATGCCCTGATATATTTTTTTTTCTTTTTGGTTGCAATTGTCATTGTTGTTTAGTAGGCCCAGGCTGGCTGGAACCCACCACCTTCAGTATATGTGGCCAGCACCCTACTCGCTGAGCTATGGATGCTGAGCCGGCCTCCATTCTTTTTTTTTTTTTGAGACAGAGCCTCAAGCTGTCCCCCTGCGTAGAGTGCCGTGGCATTATAGCTCACTGCAACCTCCAACTCCTGGGCTCAAGCGAGTCTCCTGCCTCCGCCTCCCAAGTAGCTGGGACCACAGGCGCCCGCCACAGTGCCCGGCAATTTTTTGGTTGCAGCCATCGTTGTTTGGCGGGTCCGGGCTGGGGATTCGAACCCGCCACCTTAGGTGTACGTGGCTGGCGCCTTAGCCGGTTGAGCTATAGGCGCCGAGCCCGAGCCTAGATTCTTAATGGAAGCTATCTAAAGCTTTGCAGGTTTTGGCTTCTTCCTATCTTTCCAACTTTTTTTTTTTGAGACAGGAGCCTCAAGCTGTTCTCCTAGGTAGAATGCTGTGGCATCACAGCTCACAGCAACCTCCAACTCCTGGGCTCAAGCGAGTCTCCTGCCTCTGCCTCCCAAGTAGCTGGGACCACAGGCACCTGCCACCACGCCTGGCCATTTTTTGGTTGTAGCCGTCATTGTTGTTTGGCGGGCCCAGGCTAGATTCAAACCCGCCACCTCGGGTGTACATGGCTGGCGCCATAGCCACTTGAGCCACAGGCGCTGAGCCTATCTCTCCAACTTTGTATCTCCCCACTCGACTGCCTGGATTCCAGTTCTGTCTTTGCTATTTACTAGCTGTGTGACCTTGAGCAAAAATACTTTATATCTCTGGATATGACTCTAATTAGAACCTAGTATATAGAGTCTTTGAGAGGATTAAATGAAGTATGTCATCTAGAACTTGTTTGACATCCTCTAAATGCTAAACCAGATACACCAGAAGCGGAGAGGAGCAAACACATTTCTATGCTTGTGTCCAAGATTCCTATGCTTGACTCCTGGATTCCATTAGGGAAGAGTAAGTGTTCTCTGTCACCCTGGGATTAGGTTTGGTAGGTGCAGTGTGAAGAGTCTCAGGAGAGAACATAGGAGTAAAAATGGAGGAAGTGAGACAAAAGAGTAAAGTAAGACCTCAGGAAGTAAAGAAAAAAAAAAAGAAATCAGAAAAACTATCAGACCAGTTAATTAAACCATGGAGTGACTGGAAAATCTGGAGTTTTCTGCAAGAATGGGAATGTCTTGAATGTGAAGTGTACTTCAAAGTGAAGAAGAATCACATAGTATCTAAGAGGTTGCCATGAAAAATTTTAAAGATCATTAATTAATTATTATTATTAAATTAAAGCACAGTAAGTATATTCTTTTTTTTCGGAGACAGGCACCGCCCACTGCGCCCTATTTCCATCAGCATCAGTCCATTGTCTCACTTCTGCCTGATAGACAACCCAAATATAAATGTTTACATGAAATTTCCCAACTTTAAAATGTTTGTAACTACTAAATAAAATTTTAAGAAAGTAATTTACTGGTCAAAAACAAAATGGTGTTAGGAGGCTGGGTAAAGTGGCATATGCATGTAATCCCAGAACTTTGGGAGTCTGAGGTTGGGAGATCACTTGAGCCCAGGTGTTCAAGGTTGCAGTGAGCTATCATGATGCCACTGCCTGGGTGGCAGAGCAAAACCCAGTCTAAAAAAAAACAAAAAACAAAAACGCTCTGTGCGTAGCACAGCAGCTAGGGTGCCAGCCACATGCACCAGAGCTGGCAGGTTTGAATCCAGCCCAGGCCTGCCCAACAACAATGGCAACTACAACCAAAAAATAGCTAGGCATTGTGGTGGGTGCCTGTAGTCCCAGCTCCTTGGGAGGCTGAGGCAAGA